CCCCCCAGTCCATCCTGAAAAAGGGGAAGGTCACTATCGGTTCGATCCCCCCACCCCCCCCTCCTCGAAAACAGGGGGGGGATCACTACCGGTTCGAACCTCCCCCCCCCCCGTCCCCCCTCGAAAACCGGGGGGGGGTCACTACAGGTTCGAACCCCCCCTTCCCTCGCCGCCGGCAAACGATTCCCGCTCCTCGGGACAGTTGGACAATGGTGGAGAGCTGGGACAGTGGTGGGAACCGTGGTGGTGGGGACACTGGTGCGGGGACAGTGGGACAGTGGTGCAGTGGTGGGGACGGTGGTGGTGGGGACAGTGGTGAGGGGACAGCGGGGACAGTGGTGGGGACAGTGGTGGGGACAGTGGGACAGTGGTGGGGACGGTAGTGGTGGGGACAGTGGTGAAGGCGGTGGTGAGGACAGTGGTGGGACAGTAGTACAGTGGGGAAAATGGTGGGGACAGTGGGGACAGTTGGACAGTGATGGGGACAGTGGGGACGGTGGGACAGCACAGTGGGACAGCGGCGGGGACAGTGGGACAGTGGTGGGTACAGTGGGGACAGTGGTGGGGACCGTGGGGAAAGTGGGGAGAGTGGGACCGTGGTGGGACAATGGTGGGGAGAGTGGGGACAGTGAGACACTGTTGGGGGCACTGGTGGGGACAGCGGGGGCAATGGTGGGAACAGTGGGGCCAGTGGGACAGTGGTGGGGACGGTGGTGGTGGGGACAGTGGTGTGGGGACAGTGGGAATGTGGTGGAAACAGCGAGACAGTGGAGGGTACAGTGGTGGTGGGGACAGTGGTGAGGGCGGTGGCGAGGACGGCGGTGGGATAATGGGACAGAGGTACAGAGGGGACAGTGGTGGGGACAGTGGTGGTGGGAACAGTGGGACAGCTCAGTGGGACAGCGGCGGGGACAGTGGGACAGTGGGACAGTGGGGACAAGCGGGCAATGGTTGGGGCAGTAGGGAAAATAGGGAGAGTGGAACCGTGGTGGGAACAGTTGTGGGTACAGTGCGACAGTGGTGGGGCACTGGTGGGGACAGTGGGGACGGTGGTAGGAACAGCGGGGACAGTGGTGGTGACAGTGGTGCTGAGGACAGCAGTGGGGGATGTGGTGCGGACGGTGGTAGGGGCCCGGGAGTCGCTTGCTGGCGGTGAGCGAAGGGGGAGGGGAGGGGTTTGAACCAGTAGTGTCCCCCCCCGGTTTTCGAGGGGGGGGGGGGGGGTCGAACCAGTAGTGACCCCTCGGTTTTCGGGGGGGGGTTCATCCGGTAGTGGGGGGGAGGGGGTTCGACCCGGTAGTGAACCCCCCCCCTGGTGTTCTGGAGGGGGGGGAGGAGTTCGAACCAGTAGTGACCCCACCTCTGTTCGAACTGCTAGTGACCCCCCCTGGGTTTTCCGGAGTGGGAGGGGAAGGTTCGAACCGGTAGTGACCCCCCCCCGGTTTTCCAGAGAGGGGGGGGGGTTGGGGAGGGGGGGGGTTTGCCGGGGGAAAGGGGGGGTTCCAGCAGGAGGGAGATTTTCGGAGGGGGGGGGACCCCCAGGTTCCGGAGGAAGAGGGGGGGAATTTTCCGCAGTAAACCGGCGGTGAATCACGCTCTCATATAGGGATAGGGGTGGTGATGTAAGATAGAGAACAAACGGGATAGTCATATATAAGCATATATATATATACGTATCTATAAAGATACGGACAGGGATAGATAACGGGAGACAATTGGAGACAACGTGAGACAGTGGGATACAAGGGGAAACAGCGTCGCCCGACCGATTCTGGATCTGGCACCGCACCTACTGGTCTTCTTGGAGAGGGCCTACCGACATAGAAGAAGAAAGAGGTCTTCTTGGAGAGGACCTGCCAACATAAACATAAATTGTTGGCGCTATGCGCGGACTTCTTGGATCTGCGCTGCAGCCCCCTCCCTGGCGCGCGGAGCGCGCCAGGGGCGGCACTGGAGGCGCCGCTGGGGGGCCCCAGCGAGGACCCAAGAAATCCGCGCGGAGCGCCGAAAGTTTATGTTCATGGCGTTTTTTTCTTCTTCGACAAAAGGACCTGACAGGCAGGCGGTTCAGGGAAAGACGCGCCGCCGGAGAACGCAGGAGGAGGGAGGAGGAGGGAGGAGGAGGAGGAGGAGGACGAGGAAGAGGAGGAGGGGGCCGATCTGAGGGAGGGAGGGAGGAGGAGAGGAGGAGGAGGAGGAGGAGGAGGAGGAGGAGGGAGGAGGAGGAGGAGGAGAGGAGGAGGAGGAGGAGGAGGACGAGGAAGAGGAGGAGGACGAGGACGGGACCTTTTGCTATGCCGAGGGGGCCGATCTGACACCCCACTAGGAGACGCCACCTCGAAAGCTGGACTCCGTCTGGGATCATAAAGACGCTAGCAGGGTGACAAGGAGGGGAGGAGGAGGAGGAGGAGGAGGAGGAGGAGGAGGAGGAGGAGAAGGAGGAGGAGGAGGAGGAGGAGGAGGAGAGAGGAGAGGAGGAGGGAGGAGGGAGGAGGAGGGAGGGAGGGAGGAGGAGGAGGAGGAGGAGGGAGGAGGAGGAGGGGGGAGGAGGAGGCCCTGGGACTCGGGGCCCTCCGGTCCTCGGCGGGCCTCCCGAGGCCCTCCGGGGCCCCCTGCGGGGCGCAGTCGGCGTCGCCTCGAAGCGGCACCCCGCGAGACCACGGCAAGGCCGCCCGGAGGGGCCCCCTCCACGGGCGCTCGTGGGGAAGCCAGAAGTTAGGAGGCAACCAACTGCTGGGAGGTTTTTTCGTCGGCAGGATCACGGAGGATGAAGCCCCATTGGGGGGCCTGTTACGCCGGAGTGGGCCTCGGACCAAGCGGGATTAAGCCGGATTAGGCGGGATGAAGCCGGATGAAGCTGGATTAAGCGGGATGAAGCGGGATTAAGCCGGATGAAGCGGGATTTGGGACCAGGGCTGAATCAGAATTTGACCTCCCAGGAGTTGCATCCGAACAGAAGGTACCGATACCGCTGCAGTGGAGGTCAGCCCACAAGAAGCCTTCCACAAGAAGCCCCACCCTGAGGCCCCAGGACGTCCATCGAAATTTGAGTGCGGGAACGTCACGCGTTCCATAGAGAAAGACCATCCACGCCCAGGAAACCCAGGGCACCCTGGAGGCAAGCAGGGTGTTTCTTGGCATGGGTCTCCACTCTGCTCCCCAGACCTCTCCCAGGGTCTGTTCTGACCAGAACGTCGAGGCGAACCCAGCGGTGCCGACGAGGGCCTCCCAGGACACCCGAACAGGGGAAAGCGGGCGAACGGGCGTGTGCATGGGCACCTCTTTCTCCTCCGAGCTCGGCGATGCATCGGCGATGCGGCCCGATCCTCCGACCCCGTCTGCTCCGACCCCACCTGGGAGGCCCAGCGAAGGGGCACCCCGCGAGCGTGCCGCGGGCGCCCCGCAAGGAAACGCTCCCGCAAGGGCCCCCCGCGAGGGGGGCCCCCCGCGAGAGGGATGGCCCCTCCGCGGGCGCCCCCGCCGAGGCCCTCCGAGGCACCGCTCTGGTTGGGCGCCCGAGGTATCCGGGGTAACTCGGGTCCGGGGTAACTCGGGTTTGGGTTCCCGAAACAGGAACCCGAGTTAGCCCTGACCCGAGTTACCCCTGATGATGTGGGGCTCTGGACGCCCGAATTATCCGGGGCAGCTCGGGCTCGGATTCCCGAATAACGAACCCGAGTTAACCCTGACCCGAGTTACCCCTGATGATTCGGGGCTCTGATCTGGTGCGGCCGCTGTCGGGCCGGCGTCCAACAGAGGGGAGCGCAGGTCATGGCCGGCGACATGTGCGCGGCCCCAGGGGGGGTCCAGGACGGACTCACAGAAGGAGAGGCGCCATGAACTCTGGGAGATATCGTGGCCCACGCCATGATATCACCCCCCCCAAGTCTTCACCCCCCGCTTTGCCGCCACCGACGTCGTCACGGCGACAGCATGCGGCCGCAAGCGGGCCGGGCCGACGCCGACGGGGAAAGCAAAGAGAACAGGTGGGCGACGATCAAGAAGGGGTCGTGCGCGAGATGGCACGGCGACCCTACGAGGCGGCTTACGCTGGCCGCCAGCACAGCATGCTGCACAAGAGATGAGGGCGCTTGCGCGCGACCTTACGCGAGAACCTTACGCGCAAATGTCGGCGCAAACGACCCCGTTTTTTTCCATCGCTCAGGTAGAGTCGACCCGTGTTGTATCACAAGGGTCTTGGATGCCATGCTGGCACTCTGCGGGCGGGGCGCGGCCAGTGACAGCGGCCAAGGACGGGCCGAGGAGGCGCGGATGCAGGGGCAGCCTTGGAAAGCCCCTCCTCCTTGCCCCGCGGGTCGACTGCAGGTGGCCACATGCGCACCCCACCCCCACCCGCCGCGATTTCTGAGGGGTGGGTGGGGGTTCACCCCGCTCGGGGGCTCCGGAGCGGAGTGGACTCCCCCCCCTCCCACCCCTCAGAAATCGTGGGGCCTGGGGGCAGGGTCCACGTGCGGCCACCGAACAAGCGGCGCAACGCTTAGGTCGGGCCTGTCCCCCTACAGGGGGATCTTGGACAAGAAATCTAAATAGCCCAAAACAACAAAATTGCCCCGAATGGTAGAAAACTCGTCCCCTGATTATTTTGTAGCTACCTTTGAGTATTCCTCCTGACGCGCCCGACTTCAGGCAACGCCGAGGGGAGGGGGGGGGGGGGGCGCTCTGGGCGCCCCGAGGCCCTCCGAGGCACCGCTGCCGAGGCCCCTCGCGGCGACAGCACAGCCCGACGGCGTGCTGGGCCGACGCCGACGCAAAGACCGACGGGCCGCAGCCAGTCGCGGCGCAGCGGCGACACGGCCACCGACCGACCGGCTGAACCCACCGAACACGGCCGACAACGACCCGGCCGAGCCGGCCGAACCGCGGACATCCTTCTCCTCCTCTTCCTCGTCCTCCTCCTCCCTCCTCCTCCTCCTCCTCCTCCTCCTCCTCCTGCTCCTCCTTCTCCTACTCCTCCTGCTCCTTGGATTCCCGCTCCTGGCCTGCGCGCACCACTTGCACGGACCGCCCTTTCCGCCGTCGCCGAAGCTGCCGCCGACCGGGAGGCACCCCCCGTTGCCTGGCGGGGCCAGTCGCAGGCAGCGGGGGCGGTGGAGCCAGCCACTGGGCCAACCTCCTGCTGCTGCTCCTCCTGAAGCAAGGAGGGGTTCAACCTCCTGCTGCTGCTCCTCCTGAAGCAAGGAGGGGTTCGGGGACGTATGGGGTGGTGACCACTGTGTGGTGAGTCGGTGGGGACTCGGGGTCACCGCGCGGTTTTGGGACTCGGGTCGCTCTCCGAGGACGTCTCGGGCGATTGGGGCATCCGGAATTCCAACACCGTTCGTTGACGGACCGTGCGGTGAGGTCTTGGGGGGGTTCGAAGTCACCGCGCAGTCTATCACCGCACCGTTTCGGGACTCCAAAGGCGCTGAGGAGCAGGAGGGGGGCGAGGAGGGGCCGGGGGACGAGGGAGGGGGACGGGGACGCTTACGGGGAGGGGAAAGAAAGCGGGGGGGAAGTAGCTAATGGTGGGGGGTTCTTTCAGTGCCTCTTCTTTTCTCCCCTATTGCATTCGTTGCTGATGCCGTTGCTCTCGATATTCTTCCGGATTGTCTTCAGGATTTCGGGATCAGAGGAGAACAGGTGATCGTCCCGCAGCAAGATATACCCACGCTGGGATACAGGACCCGTCGATCCAAGGAGGCAGGTGTCTGATATCGCGACAATGTTCTTTCATTCGCTCAACGATCCCCAGTCGCAAAGGTTGAGATTGGAGTTGCTCGGGGCTCTCGGGGGCACCCAGCGGCCGCGGGGGGCCCCGGGGGCTGTCGGTTGCTCGGGGCTCTCGGGGGCTCTCGGAGGCCCCGGAGGCTCTCGAACTCCACGCGAGGAGCCGACCGCATCGCGAGCCGTCTCACGAGGGCAGACGGGCGATCGGATTAGGTAACTGATGGTGTGTGGTGGCGACGCGAGGAGACTCTCGGCCGCGCTCCAAGATGCTGAGCAGGGGATCCAGCAAACAAGCCCCGAACTCCGAGCGTTCAGCGCAGACAAAAGGGCATCGCAGCATGCAGCACGCAGCAGTTGAAACTTCAGGAGGTGCAGGGAAGATGAGAGTGAGATGGCAGCGCCAATATGGGCTCCCCGAGGGCTCTCACAAGAGCTCGACATTCTCAAACCAATTCAATCGGCAACATTCTGTTCAAACCGAGGGCACCTCTAGCAGTGATAAATGTCACCCAAATCCGCCAAGGCATCCTGAGAACGCCTGAAAAGACAATCCCTCGGTTCAGCGCGAAATCTCGCAGATGCGTTGTTGGAGTTCGCGAGGGGGCGGGGGGGGGGCAGCGGCCGCGCGCATCGACGTGCGTTTCGCCGCCCCCCGCAAGTTCGCGCAGAAAATGCCAGTGTGGCGCGGGAAGACCTCGGCGCGCATTCGTCGAGCACCCCTGAGAAGAGTCCCTTTCGCATTTCGATACCGTCGCGCTGGCGGGCGAGACGATAGTTTTTTGGCACGTAGAGCTTTCCTCGGGACCTCAAGGTTCGGCGCAAAAGAGACAGAGAGAGAGAGAGAGAGAGAAAGAGAGAGAAAGAGAGAACGAGAGAAAGAGAGAAAGAGAGAAACAAATAGCGATGCTTCTCGAGAGAACCTCGGATATCCGAAAGGAAAGAAACGCTGTTCCACCCACGATGCCAGCGGTATGGCGTACGTTCCCAGCGCCCCTGAACATCCTGGAGTTGCGCGAGGGATTGTGCCACCGCGTGGGAGCGGAGAGCAACGCTAGCGCAAACGGCTTTCGCGGATGCATGGGTGTCCGGGAATTCAACCGGGTGACAAGCTCGCACGAGACGGCGCGCCTTGCCCCAACCGTGAGACGCACCACTCCTTCTCTGAAGCACTGTGCCAATTCGCCACGCGCGGGGTGCATCTGAAGTTAAAAACTGCGAAAGGGGGGCGTACATGACCCGGAAAGAAACCGTGGAGAGCGCCAGACTAAGCCCAAGAGAACGGGCCAACCGAATTCCAATACGAAATTTGGAGAGCACCGACTCCCAAACGTGTAAATGGCCATCAAGAACAATCGGGATACCGATACACCGCCCAAGAAACCGCCGGGAGCTTGTCCGCTGGAGCCCCCGGGTCCAAATCGCCGCAATCTACCACCAGACACTTGGGCAAATTCATTTTCAAGTTCGCGACGTCATCGAACACCTGGGGCCCTGTAAGAATAGTCCAAAGTCCTGGAGTGCGTTCGGGAGACCGAAAATGAGGTCACCAACGCAGGCGAGATTAATGCAGAAGTGAGGGAGATATACGTGTCGCAGCCATCTAAAAAAGCGGATCTGTTGCCAAGACATACTGCAGCATGGGAGCGGGGCGTCCCTGCTTCACTCCAGACTGCAGCTCCACAGTGCAAAAAAGCTGGCCGGCTAGGATTAGCACGCTGGTGTTGTCACAATACACCATGCGAAAGAACTGGAACTGGACTATGCACTTCAAGAGCCCCGCGCGCTCGAGCACACGCAGAAGCCGTTCCGGCGAGAACAACGGAAAGGCAGCAGAGAAGCCGATGAGGAAGAGGGACGCATATGGTACCGCGTTCATGTGCTGGCAGAGTCCCCAAGCGTCGGATCGCACGACGTGGGCTGTCATTTTCCTTCCTCGCAGGCATGCTTGATCGCTATAAACAAGGGGACTGAGATTCTCCGTCATCGTAATCGAGCGCGTTCGCCTTCAATTTAATGTCTGCGCTATTCGTGCTGAGAGGGCGAGTGCAGGAAGGGCGACGAAAGAGCTTATACCATCTGCTGGGCCCTTGGGGCCCGCGCCCTTCGGGGGAAAGGCGAGCAGGCTCCTGCGCGTGGCATTCGGGGGCGAGGGGACTTGATCGGTGAAGAGGGTCGAGTAGAAGTCATCTAAAATCCTAGCAGCTTCCGCATCTCCATGTGGAGTAAGGGATTCCGTCGGGGCCAGACATAGTTTGGGCCTCTCGAGGACGGCTTCGCACTAGAGCCCGCGCGGAAGCTTCCAGTCTACATTGAAGGGCTCAGTCGTGCACTGGATGATGGGCTCAATCTGCGCCCGGAGGTCCGCGCGAACTTCAGGCTTCTTGAAAACGTCACCCCCATGTTTCCGAAAGGCCTCCGCCAAGGCCTGGATCGTCTCGGTGGGGCACCGCCGTCGCCATTGATGTCCATAAGACCTGTTCGTCGTCGAAAACGCCGCCGGCGCTCCTTCCGACGAGCATTGCGAGCAAGAAGAACGTTTCTGCTCCTCCTCCACCATCTTTCGAATGTCTCCTGCCTGTTAAACATAGCCTGCGCGCGCTGACGCAACAAAATTGCGGCGCGCATCCAGATCCTGGCTGAAGTGCGCCCAGGGCCTCGGGTAGCATCGCGCTGCGTGGTCCAGCCGACGGCGCTGGCCAAGGCGAACAGAGCGGAGTGCGGCAAGAGCGTGATAGCGCCGTTCCTGCAGGGATTTCGCCTCGCGCGAGTTCATGGCGACGCGGGCGGTCACCGCCGCCTCAATGAAACTATCTCTGGCGTGCTCTAGATTGTTCCAGGGGCACCGCGCCGAGGGAATGCGCTGAAGGCGGCTGTGCAGGGCCGCGTTGAATTCAGGGGGGGCAGTGGTCCACGGGGCGATCTTTCTGGAGTCCGATGAGGGCGCGCAGGGAACGAGGGTGGCGACAACGGGGGCGCGGTCGCCGCGCGCGGGCGACGCGGGGGCGACGCCCCGAAGTGGTCCAGGAGGAAGGGGGATGTAGACCCGATCGATCCGCGAGGTAGACGACGCTGCATTTTTCGCGTTTCCCTCGGCGAACGTCCTGGCCCGGGAAGATGCCCGTCGACGTCGGGGAAGCCCGTCAAACATTCTGGAGTGGGCAGCGCCCCGGGGAGTAGACGCTCCAGAGTCACAACGTAGGCGCCCTTCGTCTTCTAACACGAGGTTACCACCTGGCAGGCGATGTCGCGCGCCCTGCTTAAGCTTGGACAACGCACTTTTGGAAGTCGGCGCGGGGTCGCTGGCGCTCGGAAAGTGGACTTTGCCTGCCACGAGATCTCCCCGCGGAACAGACATAATGCATTTTAGGATGCGCCATTTGATCGCCTCCTCGCGCCGCATTTCATTGAACCGACTGGCATAGCGAGCAGAAGTGAAAGCAACGGCGCCACCATCGCGGTTGGAGTCGAGGGGCGAGAAGCCGAACTGGCGCGCGCGGAGCTCCCGCGCCAGCTCGTGGACGTCGTCAACGTGGCCGTGTATCTCAGTTGTGCAAACGATGTCATACTGCTTGACAGGCGCGCATGCATGTGTAATCTCGTGACGCAGCCATCTTACTCGCGGCGCGCACCGACGCCAGAGAAAGAGAGAGAGGGGGGGGGGGGGGGAAAAGGGGGCCAGGGAAGTAGCAGTCCAATTTGTAAATTCAACCCGTGAGGAGTGGAAGGAGGTGGATGTGCGTGTCTGTCGGCGCTGTTCGCTTCAGCGACAAGAGGGGCGCTCAAACTGCACCTGCGCTGCTGTCTCCATAGAGGCCGCGTGCTGCGATATGCCAAACTCAAGCAGAGCGTCGCGATCGAGGTTGCAGCCGACATTCAAGTCGTCGCCCACTGCCACTGCTGCGACATGCGACGGGCCCCACGGGCCGCGCGAAACGTCGACGCTGCCGCCCAAGACAGAATCAACAAATCTAACCTCCAGGCCTTTGTCGAGGACAGGTCTGAAATGCGGCTGCGCGCTCTCGCTCGAGACAAAAAGAGTTGGCGGCTGGTGGAAGTCATATTACGGCGAACCCGCAACGATTAATTGACCGAGGGATTCAACGGGCGCGGGCGCGCCCATGTCCGTGCCAAAAAGCTGCTCGGGGCAAAGTGCCCGCTGATGTCGGCGTTTCGAAGTGGAGGCTGAACTTCTTACTCGCGCCGAGCGCGCGAACAACAACTTTATTGAAGCCAGAACTCGGCGCGAAGGTCGAGCGGCACTTCTCCCCGATGATGCGGAGATCTGTTGCCGGCATTTTCCTCGCGTGCCCAAGAATGGCCAATTTGCATGTCTTATCCTGTAACTGACCT